CGGTGATGGATAATGTAGACATTTCTAACTTAAAAAAGGGCAATAAATATGTCAAAATCTATGTTATAGTTCATGGTCCTGGGACTTCCTATTACTCTCATATATGTGTGAAGTTCTAATCCACCCTGTAGTTGTTATGAAGATAGAGCTTACATGTAAAAATTTAACCAATAATTATTTAGTCGAAGAAAGGAGCTTAAATATGAAAAAACAGTTATGGTACTTGTGGTAATCAAATGTGTCAAATTGATATTTTACTTCAGTAGTTTTTAGATACCAATTTTGCACGCAAAAAACTTAACCTAAGTGTGACCCCAATGCGACACCTTTGTAACAACTACAAGTATATTGCTGTAGCTATTCTCTTAATAGTCAAGCTAAATTGATTACAAGTATTTTCGAAGAATGATCTGAAATTTCGCACACAAGTTAATAGTAATATTTAAATAGTAGGAAACCTAAAGAACATAACTCCAATCCTATCATGTCAAAAATCAAGAAGATATAATTCCAAACATGTCAAAAATCCTCAGTGGAGTCCCTTTTACTTTACACTTTGAATAATACTAACAGTTTAAACTTGTACACATTAATTGTTTTACATAAATATAATGTTTAACTTTTTTTCAATATTTACAATATAAAACAATCCAAGAAGGAATCACTAAAATATAACATTTAAATAAAACAATTTATGTATACCATTTACTTGTCATATTTATCATCTAACAAGTATTCATTATTATACAATTGACTATTCATCTATATCATATAACCCTATATATCATATAACTGGTTATTACATATACTGATCACCTGTGCTATATCTTATATAACTGGTATTCATATATACCATTTACTTTTCCTCTGTATCATATAATCCTATATATCATATAACTGGTTATATCATATATAGAGGATATTGAATGAGTGTAGTTTAATACTAAATTTATTGAACGAGTTGAATAAAATCATATTATGCAAGCCTCTAGCGAGCATAATATTGTTTTATTCAACAAGTTTAATAAATTTAGTATTGAATCTACACGAATATAATATTCTATTTATCACACATTAAAAAAAGGAACAGTAAACTGTTAAAATGAGTAATTTTTCAATGACGCCCGTAGTGTTAAGCTAAGATTAGCGCGCTTTAATGCTATGTTTCTATATAGCGCAAATGACATCACGTCAAAGTGTTATTACACTAGTGTAATAAAGTTTTTATTAAATGGCTTTATTACACTCCTGCACCGCAGTTTATGTGATAAAACCCTATATATCATATAACTGGTTATTACATATACTGATCACCTGTGCTATATCTTATATAACTGGTATTCATATATACCATTTACTTTTCCTCTGTATCATATAACCCTATATATCATATAACTGGTTATTACATATACTGATCACCTGTTTTATATCTTATATAACTGGTATTCATATATAACATTTACATTTCCTCTGTATCATATAACCCTATATATCATATAACCCTATATATCATATAACCCTATATATATCATATAACCCTATATATCATATAACCCTATATATCATATAACCCTATATATCATATAACTGGTTATTACATATACTGATAAATTGTGCTATATCTTATATAACCGGTATTCATATATACCATTTACTTTTCCTCTGTATCATATAATCCTATATATCATATAATTTGTACTAAAATATACTGTTCCACTGTACTATATATCATATAAGTGGTATTTATTATACAATTCCCTTGTCCTTTATAACATATAACTGGTATTCATATATACCATTTCCTTGTTTAATATATCATATAACCGGTATTTACATAAACCAATCATTTGTCCTATATATCATATAACTGGTATTGATATATAACATTCTCTTGACATATTTCTCATATAACTGGTAATTACATATACCATTCCCTTATCCTATCATATATTATATAATATAACTGGTATTTGAATGTTATATTTATCTTTTACTTTTTCTGACCTTGTACATTAAATTTCTGTTTTATGATATTTCCATTCAAATTACTTATTATATTTACTTATTCATTAATTTATTTACTTGCTAATCTATTTATCTATTTATGTATTTATTATTAAAAGAACCTATTACTTTTTCAAATTATACTTTTCACAAACTATCCCTGATCTTTAAAAAAAACAGTTACCTATATTTTCTTCATATTTCACTGCATTTCTTTCTTTTATTTGTTTAAATACACATTTGAATATTACTTTCATCAATTTTTAATATTACTACAATGATCAGAAATTGATATTTAATGAACTATTTTTGATGATTGTTATTTATCATATTGTATTACTTCATTATTTAACATATCAATATGTAAATTTAGTTGTTTTTTTCTGCTGATAATGTTTATTTTAATAATTATGTCTTTTATCATGAAATAATTTAAATTAAGCACTATGTTAACTGCATGTATTCTATCTCTCTATGTTAAAAAATCAGATCATTTTCTTTTTGTCAAAAATGAAAAAAAAATCATCTCTTTTAACACGCAATAATTTAGTTTTAACACTATATGTTAACTTCATGTATACTAAATGGACTATATGTTAACTTCATGTATACTAAATGGACTATGTTAACTTCATGTATACTAAATGGACTATGTGTTAACTTCATGTATACTAAATGGACTATATGTTAACTTCATGTATTCTAAATGGACACTTTTATCACTTTTTTGTTGAAAAATCTAACCAATCATCATAATCATGTTTAACATGAAATAACTGGTCCTGATCTTTTACAATAATGAAAAAAAAATATATCTCTTTTAACATGCAATAATTTAGTTTAATCACTATGTTAACGTCATGTATCCTATTTCACTATGTTAAAGATTCAAACCATTATTTTTATTGTTAACATTGAAAAAAATTAGTTCAAACACTATGTTACTACATGGATACTTTATCACTTTTTTGTTGAAAAGTAAAACCAAATAGAACCATCCTGTTTAACAAGAAATAACTGATCCTGATCCTTTACATACTGTTTAGCATCATTTCCCTTCCCTTCTCCTAGTCCTGGTGATGTCAATCTTAACATATCATCATTAAACTCCTCACCATCTCCTGTTATATAACATTGCACTACATTCACTTCAACAGTATGAGGAATATGAGGAAGACTATCAACAAACATCCGCCATGTTGTCAAACTCATTATGACATACTTAAGCTCAATGTTTTTTAAACTCTTCATCTCTAAAGGTAACTGTATTATACTGTCAGTTAACCTACACCACTCTAACTCAAGCTTACTGAGATTGTGTAACAATGGTAATACTGTGACAAGTCTCTTTGTTATGTTGGTATGATAAAATTGAGATTTATTGTAATAATCTCCATACAATTCAAGTTCTTTTAATTTGTAAGATTTTCTAATAATATCAAATATTTTCTCATAATTACTATTTTTCAATTTTCTAAATGTAAATATTTCAAGGTTTGTAGTATCAGCATCTATCACACTAACAGTATTAAACAAAAAAAGGTACTGAAGTTGTTGATGTTTTGATAAATTTACATCATGCTGGTTCTCACACTCACATTCAACATTAACAAGATGTATTTGTTCAAGATGACTGGTTCTCTCAAGAAAATTACAAAATGTAGTAGTATCACCATGACTCATTGTTATACCACTCATACATATTGCTACAAGATTGATCATACTAGGTAGGTTACTAACAACTGTTTTACACACTGGGTAATACTTGTCATTGTAATGGACATGAAGAGACAGAGATTTTAATGTTGAAGTATTTACTTTAATTGTCTCACAAACACAATTGTTAATCTCATCAATCAACTCATTACTCTGTGTACTATCACTTTGTTTACTTGAAAACCTTTGTGATATACGGTCATATGTTATTTCAATTTTTTCAAGATGATGAAACATTGGTAAATATTTGGTAAATTTAATATTTTCTGTGTTAATGTAAACTACATGAATAGACAAAACAGAGTCAGGAACAATTTGATGCTGATCAATACTTGAACAAACAATATCACAATCGTCAATGACCAAATCTTCTATATAAAATACAGGATTACTTCCTTTACTACATGCTGCATTTAATTCTTCCATTGACTCAAACATAAGCTCTTGAATATCAGTAATACAACGATGGTCCTCATAAATGTCCCTACTTATTGTTCTCCTGTATTCCTGAACACGACAGTCTTTCGACACAGAATCATATATGTATTTTAAAACATGTGTTGCTAATCTTGGTTCTAGACCAGATAGCATAATAATTACATTTGACTGCTCTAATATGTAATTTAATGTTGAACATTTCTGAAAAACCTCATTTATAAACTGAAAGCACTTGCTTTGCAAATCAACATTTTCTGTTTGTGTACTATCTGGCAAACTTATTCTTATCTTAAACTTGATACCAATATTCACTGCAGCCAGAAATTCTTGCATTGATTTGTGAACAAAAGAAAACAATGAGCTTTTAGGTTTAGATACAGATAAAGAAGGACATTTATCTTCTGTCAAAATTCCCAGTTTCAGACATGTTTCCCGCACATCTTGTGATATTTTCAAATCATCAAACACAGATTTGTCAAATGTTAAGGACTTATCCTTCGGATAATTGAACAATGTCTCATAAGCCAAGTGCGACACATCATATATAAGATGACTATTTAATCTACATATCTCTACATCTGTTAAATACTGAGGGAGTTCAACATTCTGAGAACTTTCCATACAATCTGCATTATTTCCTAAAGTTTTATTGATATTCCAGGTGAAATAAAGTTCTAACATACCAGTATAAATAGCACACCTTGACGTTTTATCGAGTTTACCATCACACCATAAACAAACCAATTGTTGCAGCATAATTGGTACCCGTTTCAGGCCAACCACAGACAGTATCCTAAGCTTTTGTTCACACACATTAGGATCTAATGATTCGTTCAATGCTGTTATTGTTTTCTTAATCATTTCTTTTCGTATGTTTTATCAAACCCTTTTAATTTCAATAATTGATGAATCTCTCTATTACTTACTCTCAAACTGTGAATTTTCCATGGCCTTGATGTAGTAACAATGGTGTATTTCTTTGTAAAGTCACGTTCCGGAAGGCCTGCCTGGAACTCATTCCTAGTCTCACTGTCAAAAGACCATTCATCTAAACCATCAAGCAAAATAATTATCTTTTCAGAATCATTTTCCAGAAGTTTACTTAAATTTTTTATCTTATCATATCGCATTTCAAGCATTTCCTGGATACTTCGGATATTTATGTTATGTCTAAGAGAAATATAAAACATAAAATCAAATTTCTTCATTTCCTTGACTCCTTCAAACTCATCATTTTCATTGTGTCCATCACTGTGTGCCATACACCAACAGTTGATCAAATATTTACAGAAACTACTCTTACCAGACCCTGCATCTCCAACAACATAAATAAATTTCTGTGGATCCCCGTTCTTTGTGAAAATCTCTGACATGGACTCTATTTCTTTTTCCTCAGACTCCCCTCTATTCTTTTCTATCTTGCTTGTTATAGTGGGTCTAATATAAACGTCACTGAAATTATAATTTTCCTCATCTGGTTGTAAAGGTATTGCTGATACTTTAAGTACTTCACTGCGATAATGTTCTATCAATTGAGTACGACAACCTGAAATTTATTGAAAGCAAAACTCACAAATTATCTTAACGTTACAAGATTCCCTCACAAACTAGAGAGTTCCCTTACATTGAAATGATGATTTTGTAGTAAGTTTTGTTTTGTAAAAGTATAAATTAAATACAAAGATATATGATAAAATTATCACAATTCGGGCAAAATTCACCTGTTTTAGCCTTATAATATTATATGAAGCATACCTATTTAGCCTTTACATACCCGATATCTAGCCTTGTCTGATTAAAATTTTATTAGCCCCTTCATTCTATATATAACATACCTAATTTAAACTTTCATATTCTATAGAAACATACCAGATTTTGCTTTTTGATATTTTATATAACAAACCTGATTTAGCCTTTTCATTCTATATATAACATACCTAATTTAACGTTTAATATTCAATATAACATACCAGATTTTGCCTTTTCATTTTCTATATAATATACATGTATTATGTACCTTATACAGCCTTTTTAAATTCCTTATAATATACCTTATTTAGGCCTTTTCATATTCTATAGAACATACCTGATTTAGCCCTTTCATATTATATATAACAAACCAAATTTAACCTTTTCATTTTCTATATAATATACCTGATTTATCCCTTTCATATTCTATATAACATACCTAATTTAACCTTTTCATATTATATATAACATACCTGATTTCGCCTTTTCATATTGTAATTGTTTTTGTTCAGGAGAATCTTCTACCTTGAGTCTTTTTATCTCCTACAACATAAAATATAATACAAACAATTGTGTTTTATTCATTAAATTTTCAAAAATGTTTATTGTATAAAGTAATACATGTATTTGTATATTCAGTCCGTTTGTATAACATACAGCTTCCAAATATACAGTATAATTTCTACGAGACAAACTTCGATAAGTTGATTACAGTAATACAAAAATACATGTACAGGTTTAAATAGTCACACATGTACCGGTATATCAACCAGAAACAAACAGTAATACATGTACCGGTATATCAACCAGAAACAAACAGTTATACATGTACCAGTATAACAACCAGAAACAAACAGTTACACATGTACCGGTATATCAATAGAAACAAACAGTTATACATGTACCAGTACATCAACCAGAAACAAACAGTAATACATGTACCGGTATATCAACCAGAAACAAACAGTAATACATGTACCAGTATATCAACCAGAAACAAACAGTTATACATGTACCGGTATATCAACCGGAAACTAATAGTAATACATGTACCGGTATATCAACCAGAAACAAATAGTAAAACATGTACCAGTATATCAATAGAAACAAACAGTAATACATGTACCGGTATATCAATAGAAAGAAACAGTAATACATGTACCGGTATATCAACCGGAAACTAACAGAAATACATGTACCGGTATATCAATAGAAACAAACAGTTATACATGTACTAGTATATCAACCAGAAACAAACAGTAATACATGTACCGGTATATCAACCGGAACTAATAGTAATACATGTACCGGTATATCAACCAGAAACAAACAGTAATACATGTACCGGTATATAAACCAGAAACAAACAGTAATACATGTACCGGTATATCAACCAGAAACAAACAGTAATACATGTACCGGTATATCAACCAGAAACAAACAGTAATACAATGTACTGGTATATCAACCGGAAACAAACAGTTATACAATGTGCACTGTTATATCAACCAGAAACAAACAGTAATACATGCATCGGTATATCAACCAGAAACAAACAGTTATACATGTACAGGTATATCAACCAGAAACAAACAGTTATACATGTACTAGTATATCAACCAGAAACAAACAGTAACACATGTACCGGTATATCAACCAGAAACAAACAGTTATACATGTACTAGTACATCAACCGGAAACAAACAGTTATACATGTACCGGTATGTCAACCGAAACAAACAGTAACACATGTACATGTTCTGGTATATCAACCGAAACAATCAGTAATACATGTACTGGTATATCAACCGGAAACAAACAGTAACACATGACCAAATGTATCAACTGGAAACAAACAGTAATACATGTACTGGTATATCAACCATAAACAAACAGTAACACATGACCCAAATATATCAACTGGAAACAAACAGTTATACATGTACTGGTATATCAACCGAAACAAACAGTAACACATGTACCAAATGTATCAACTGGAAACAAACAGTAATACATGTACTGGTATATCAACCGAAACAAACAGTAATACATGTACTGGTATATCAACCGGAAACAAACAGTAACACATGACCAAATGTATCAACTGGAAACAAACAGTAATACATGTACTGGTATATCAACCGAAACAAACAGTAATACATGTACTGGTATATCAACCGGAAACAAACAGTAACACATGACCAAATATATCAACTGGAAACAAACAGTTATACATGTACTTGGTATATCAACCGGAAACAAACAGTAACACATGACCAAATGTATCAACTGGAAACAAAACAGTAATACATGTACTGGTATATCAACCGAAACAAACAGTAATACATGTACTGGTATATCAACCGAAACAATCAGTAATACATGTACTGGTATATCAACCGGAAACAAACAGTAACACATGACCAAAATATATCAACTGGAAACAAACAGTTATACATGTACTGGTATATCAACCGGAAACAAACAGTAACACATGTACCAAATGTATCAACTGGAAACAAACAGTAATACATGTACTGGTATATCAACCGAAACAAACAGTAATACATGTACTGGTATATCAACCGGAAACAAACAGTAACACATGACCAAATGTATCAACTGGAAACAAACAGTAATACATGTACTGGTATATCAACCGAAACAAACAGTAATACATGTACTGGTATATCAACTGGAAACAAACAGTAACACATGTACCAAATGTATCAACTGGAAACAAACAGTAATACATGTACTGGTATATCAACCGAAACAAACAGTAATACATGTACTGGTATATCAACCGGAAACAAACAGTAACACATGACCAAATGTATCAACTGGAAACAAACAGTTATACATGTACTGGTATATCAACCAGAAACAAACAGTAACACATGACCAAATGTATCAACTGCAAACAAACAGAAATACATGTACTGGTATATCAACCGAAACAAACAGTAATACATGTACTGGTATATCAACCGGAAACAAACAGTAACACATGACCAAATGTATCAACCGGAAACAAACAGTAATACATGTACTGGTATATCAACCGGAAACAAACAGTAACACATGACCAAATATATCAACTGGAAACAAACAGTAATACATGTACAGGTATATCAACCGAAACAAATAGTAATACATGTACATGTTCTGGTATATCAACCGGAAACAAACAGTAACACATGTACTGGTATATCAACCGGAAACAAACAGTAATACATGTACTGGTATATCAACCGGAAACAAACAGTAACACATGTACCAAATGTATCAACTGGAAACAAACAGTAATACATGTACTGGTATATCAACCGGAAACAAACAGTAACACATGACCAAATGTATCAACTGGAAACAAACAGTAATACATGTACTGGTATATCAACCGAACAAACAGTAATACATGTACTGGTATATCAACTGGAAACAAACAGTAACACATGACCAAATGTATCAACTGGAAACAAACAGTAATACATGTACTGGTATATCAACCGAAACAAACAGTAATACATGTACTGGTATATCAACCGGAAACAAACAGTAACACATGACCAAATATATCAACTGGAAACAAACAGTTATACATGTACTGGTATATCAACCGGAAACAAACAGTAACACATGACCAAATGTATCAACTGGAAACAAACAGTAATACATGTACTGGTATATCAACCGAAACAAACAGTAATACATGTACTGGTATATCAACCGAAACAATCAGTAATACATGTACTGGTATATCAACCGGAAACAAACAGTAACACATGACCAAATATATCAACTGGAAACAAACAGTTATACATGTACTGGTATATCAACCGGAAACAAACAGTAACACATGTACCAAATGTATCAACTGGAAACAAACAGTAATACATGTACTGGTATATCAACCGAAACAAACAGTAATACATGTACTGGTATATCAACCGGAAACAAACAGTAACACATGACCAAATGTATCAACTGGAAACAAACAGTAATACATGTACTGGTATATCAACCGAAACAAACAGTAATACATGTACTGGTATATCAACTGGAAACAAACAGTAACACATGTACCAAATGTATCAACTGGAAACAAACAGTAATACATGTACTGGTATATCAACCAGAAACAACAAACAGTAACACATGACCAAATGTATCAACTGGAAACAAACAGTTATACATGTACTGGTATATCAACCAGAAACAAACAGTAACACATGACCAAATGTATCAACTGCAAACAAACAGAAATACATGTACTGGTATATCAACCGAAACAAACAGTAATACATGTACTGGTATATCAACCGGAAAACAAACAGTAACACATGACCAAATGTATCAACCGGAAACAAACAGTAATACATGTACTGGTATATCAACCGGAAACAAACAGTAACACATGACCAAATATATCAACTGGAAACAAACAGTAATACATGTACAGGTATATCAACCGAAAACAAACAGTAATACATGTACATGTTCTGGTATATCAACCGGAAACAAACAGTAACACATGTACTGGTATATCAACCGGAAACAAACAGTAATACATGTACTGGTATATCAACCGGAAACAAACAGTAACACATGTACCAAATGTATCAACTGGAAACAAACAGTAATACATGTACTGGTATATCAACCGGAAACAAACAGTAACACATGACCAAATGTATCAACTGGAAACAAACAGTAATACATGTACCAGTATATCAACCAGAAACAAACAGTAATACATGTACCGGTATATCAACCGGAAACAAACAGTAATACATGTACTGGTATATCAACCGAAACAAACAGTAATACATGTACTGGTATATCAACCGGAAACAAACAGTAACACATGACCAAATATATCAACTGGAAACAAACAGTAATACATGTACCGGTATATCAACCAGAAACAAAAAGTAACACATGTACCGGTATATCAACTGAAACAAACAGTAACACATCACCAAGTATATCAGCTGGAAAGAAACAGTTATACATGTACTGGTATATCAACCGGAAACAAACAGTAACACATGTACCAAATGTATCAACTGGAAACAAACAGTAATACATGTACTGGTATATCAACCGAAACAAACAGTAATACATGTACTGGTATATCAACCGGAAACAAACAGTAACACATGACCAAATGTATCAACTGGAAACAAACAGTAATACATGTACTGGTATATCAACCGAAACAAACAGTAATACATGTACTGGTATATCAACCGGAAACAAACAGTAACACATGTACCAAATGTATCAACTTGGAAACAAACAGTAATACATGTACTGGTATATCAACCGAAACAAACAATAATACATGTACTGGTATATCAACCGGAAACAAACAGTAACACATGTACCAAATGTATCAACTGGAAACAAACAGTAATACATGTACTGGTATATCAACCGGAAACAAACAGTAACACATGACCAAATATATCAACCGAAACAAACAGTAATACATGTACTGGTATATCAACCGGAAACAAACAGTAACACATGTACCAAATGTATCAACTGGAAACAAACAGTAATACATGTACTGGTATATCAACCAGAAACAAACAGTAACACATGACCAAATGTATCAACTGGAAACAAACAGTTATACATGTACTGGTATATCAACCAGAAACAAACAGTAACACATGACCAAATGTATCAACTGCAAACAAACAGAAATACATGTACTGGTATATCAACCGAAACAAACAGTAATACATGTACTGGTATATCAACCGGAAACAAACAGTAACACATGACCAAATGTATCAACCGGAAACAAACAGTAATACATGTACTGGTATATCAACCGGAAACAAGCAGTAACACATGACCAAATATATCAACTGGAAACAAACAGTAATACATGTACAGGTATATCAACCGAAACAAACAGTAATACATGTACATGTTCTGGTATATCAAACCGGAAACAAACAGTAACACATGTACTGGTATATCAACCGGAAACAAACAGTAATACATGTACTGGTATATCAACCGGAAACAAACAGTAACACATGTACCAAATGTATCAACTGGAAACAAACAGTAATACATGTACTGGTATATCAACCGGAAACAAACAGTAACACATGACCAAATGTATCAACTGGAAACAAACAGTAATACATGTACCAGTATATCAACCAGAAACAAACAGTAATACATGTACTGGTATATCAACCGGAAACAAACAGTAATACATGTACTGGTATATCAACCGAAACAAACAGTAATACATGTACTGGTATATCAACCGGAAACAAACAGTAACACATGACCAAATATATCAACTGGAAACAAACAGTAATACATGTACCGGTATATCAACCAGAAACAAAAAGTAACACATGTACCGGTATATCAACTGAAACAAACAGTAACACATCACCAAGTATATCAGCTGGAAAGAAACAGAACAACATGTACTGGTATATTAATAACTAAAACAAATACATTATGTAGTTACACATGTACCGGTATATCAACCGGAAACAGACAGTAATACATGTTTTTGTTTGCTTGTTTGTTTCATTTTACGCCTTTTTCCAACAGTATTTCAGTCATATAGGCGGGTAGTTTCCTAACCATCGTTCCTGGAGAGTCACACCAGCTACCCCGACTTTCCACCCAAAATTTTCCCCCAAAGGTTTAACCTTTCCAAAGCATTCCCCCTTTAAAACAAAAAACCAGTAAATCAACCCAAAAAAAACAAGTTTATTTTTAAACCCCCAAAAAAACAAATAATAAAAAATGTACCAGTATATTAACTAGAAACAAAACAAATAATACATTCCCAAACAACCAGAAAAAACAGTAATACATGGGCCAAAAAATATCAACCCAAAAAATATAATACATTTTTTTTGTTGGGCTTTTTTTTCATTTTACGCCCCCTTTCCCCAAAAGTAAAAACCCGTCAATATGCGGGGAGTTTTCCCAACCATCGTTTCCCGGAGAGTTACACCAAAACTTTGACTAACCCTTTCCCCTGCCTTTTCTACCCAAAATATCTCCCCGGATCAAAACCCCCGCCAAAAGGGGGAAATTGGGTTAGAAGTCACGGAGGCAGTCAGTAATACAGTACAGATAACGAGGAATATGCAAAATCCTTGGAGGATCGAGGAATCCACTCGCAACTCCCCGAGAGTATTTGTCCATAAAAACGGGTGACTCCGCGTGAGAAACGTGTGATGAGTGCGACTCTGAGACGAAAATAACAGCGCAAGACTCCGAGAGGGAATTACCGTGTCAGTGTCATCAGTTATCAAGTTTATTTTTATCCCAATTAATAAGGTCAGTAGCAATAACCACAGGAACCTGAAATTCTATCAAAAACAAAAAACGATTAAAAAAATTCCATATAATAACGGCCCAACTTTTTTGTATACTTCTTTATGAAATAAGAATAATTCAGATTATATAAACTTCATTAATCTTTAAACAATGCTTTACATCAACGAAGAATTTTCGACAACATTATTTTGAATGATACATGCGTTCAAGGATTTTAGTTTAAAGGTAGAGCATTGTATTAATAAATAAATAAAGCATACCAAATCAGTCTTATTTACACGGAGTCACTCTTTTTGACTGGGAGATTCACGGAGTCCTGCGGACTTAATTTTCACTCGTTATCGACGCGGAGTCACTCTTTGTGTACAAGAAATTTATAATTCACTCGTAGTCACGTTTTTTGTAATTACTCATTACTCGCAGGAATTTGTATATTCCTCGTTATCTGTACTGTACATGGAACGGTATATTAACCAGAAACAAACAGTTATGCATGTACAAGTGTATCAACATGTATGGTAACCGATATATCAACTGGCAACAAACAAAAGAAACACATTCTACCTCTTTTTGTTCTGTCTCAAGAACTGTAAATTTCCTTTTCATCTCTGTACGTTCTTTCTCAGCTTCCGACATCTCTGCCTTAAGTTCAGTTAATTTATTTTTTAGGTCCTCATATTCTTCTTCAGACTTAGTTGCAGCATTTTCTGTTGATTTCAAAACTTTTGCCATTTCATCTTTGATTTGCCTCAGGATATCTTCAAAGTCTTCAGTAGTAATGATGAAGTCCTTTTTCTTCAGCTGATGAAAATAAATCAGTTAGGCCTATATCACATTTTATAAATATTTACTCTACATACAACATATTATATACATATTATATATTTCAAAATTATCTCAATTGTTTTTTTATTTTAACTCTCATACTTTTTCTGAGGGCTTCTAAAATCTGCTTTTAAGGCAGGATGTGTGGTATAGTCATTTGATTGCCAGATTTATCTATTTTCTTCACATTTGTTTTTCTTACCTATAACTAACAAGCTTAGATCTGTATTTTTGATATTTACATTTTGAAGGTATTTATAAATTATATTTGATTTCATCAAGATATGTTAACTTAAGGCAGTTGTTACATAAATTTGACTAAAATGAACTAAACTATTGCTGAATGCGATTCATACCCCCCACCAATGTCCTTGACAGAAGATGACTTGGAAAGGAGGTTAAAGGAACTCCACTGAGGATCAAAAGCCTAAAATCATAACATTTATTTTTACACAGATCAGCTGGGGCACGTAACACAGGAAGACATGAAAAAAATATTAAGAGATTTACTCAGAAATGAATTGAAAAGCGTATTTTTGTGACATTTTTGATATGATTCGAGTGAAAGCGTTTAAACGCTTTTATTTTTTTAATTTTGGGTCATTTTTCGCTACTTGAATAGTTATCCTGGATAAACCAAGAGAGCAAATGATCTAAAATTTTGCACACAAGTTACTGATACAGACCTACATCAAACTGAGCATTAATCTCAAAAAAAAAATTATCTCTGGTGAAAAAAGACAAATTGTACAGGTCATTGTATAAAATTTAATATATTTTGTCAAATCATGTTCAAAACAGTTACAAATAACCCTCCATTTTTCCAAACAAAAGCACTGAAGTTAAGAAAATGGCATAAATATGTCAAAATGTAATTAAGAGTGGAAAAACTTTGCATGTGACCCTTCATATATTATGAAGTTTCGAGTGAATATCTGTTCTAGTTTCAGAAACATTTAAGTATTAATGAATATATCAGAACATTTTCTAAGCCAAAAAAGGGGCATAACTTGTGTATTAATTCAATGGAATGGAAGAATTTTCGTGAGCTTACTTGTTACCATTCATATTAAATTTAAATTTCAAGTAAATATCTGTTCTGGTTTAAGAAATATTATAGTAAACAAGCAATAATCATAGTATTGCAAGCAATCCATAAGTCCCCTACAGGTTCAATAGGGCCATCTATTAGTGATGACCAATCACTGTGTGAAATATGAAGACTTTGTGATTAATTCTTTTCAAGATAATCAGCGGAAACCATTTTGACATTTAATGTCCCTGTGACCTTGACCTTGACCTAGTGACCCCAAAATCAATAGGGGTCATCTCCTAGTTATGACCAATCACTATGTGAAATATGAAGACTTTGTGATAAACACTTTTCAAGATAATCAGCGGAAACCATTTTGACATTTAAGGTCCCTGTGACCTTGACCTTTGACCTAGTGACCCCAAAATCAATAGGGGTCATGTACTAGTTATGACCAATCACTATGTGAAATATGAAGATTTTGTGATACATACATTTCAAGATAATCAGCGGAAACCATTTTGACATTTAAGGTCCCTGTGACCTTGACCTTTGACCTAGTGACCCCAAAATCAATAGGGGTCATCTACTAGTTATGACCAATCACTATGTGAAATATGAGGACTTTGTCCTGGTGACCTCAAAATCAAAAAGAGTCATCTACTTTTCAAGATAATCAGCGGAAACCATGTGGTCTACCGACGGACAGACCGACGGACCGACAGACAGACAGACCAACATTAGCAAAACAATATACCCTCTCTTCTTCGAAGGGGGGCATAAAAATCTTTAAAAGTGATCTCAGGAAACAGTTTTTATGAACAGACAGACAGACAGACTGAAGGAGACTCTTAGGTTACTTTTTTAAACATCCCTGTTACCAAAATATGACATATTTTAATACAAATTTTTAAAGAGGAGATACATGTAACTCTTGAAATAACGATGCCAGATTTATGAACATTGATGTGAGTTTTACTTTAAGTTTAAAGATACATGTACCATTTATTGTCATAAAGAAGATAAGTAAAAAAATAACAATTTTTCAAATATAGCATTAACTATAATGTATAGTAAGTAACAAAGAAGAAAGTCCATGAAGTATAAGAAAGTTAGAGAATGAATAAGAAAAATTCAAAGTTTAAGGACGAGATAATTCTGAAAATATGGATCTAGATTTATAAACCTTGTCATATTATTATGATGTGGGAGTTTAAAGTAAATCCTATAAGGAATGAAGAAGTTGGAGTAAAAAATACCAATTTCTCAAAAAAAAATCTAAAATAGTCTTGCTAGAGTATTTAACCTTCTCACAAATGTAGAGTGATAATAAGAAACATATATATGAAGTTTGAAGTAGATACATGAAGAAATAAAGAAGTTATTAAAAAAAGACAACATTTTTTTTTCATAAAAATTCTAAGTTCAAGGGAGGTAATTCTGATAATTTTTGTGCTAGAGATGTAAACCTTGTCACATATGATGTGATTGATGACCAGAAACTTATATTTAAAGTTTGAAGTAAACACCTTAAGAAATAAAGAACTTATAGTGAAAAAGCATAAAAATTCAAATCAGAAATCTTGAAATTCAGTCTATTTGTTGCCACAGCAACCAGAATTTTCAACTTAGGAAGAAAAGAAACAAGAGCTGTCACAGGAGACAGCGAAGCTCGACTAATGAAATACTGGACGCAGTAAAGAGGACAAAATTATGAAAGAAAAATCAATTATGTATAATTATGTATTAAGTTACAGTAAAAATAACATTTGTTAACATAAATTCCAAGATCAAGGGGAATAATTCTAGAAAGGGTACGTTACGATACCGAAATCAACTTGATTTCGGTAAAGTTACCGAAATCAACTTTTCATTACCGAAATCAACTCGTAAAAACCAAACTAGTTATAATATTGCTATTATTTCTTTATTATTTGATGAAAAATAATGAAATATACTTTCATTTAAAAAATCTATTGAAAATATTGTATTTTAATGATGTTATTAACAAAAATGTAATTATTGAGTTACTTCCCTTTGTTTTAAAACAACCCGTTACCGAAATCAGCTGTGAAGTTTAAATTATATATATAATTAGTAGATAATAGATTAGATAACTCTAGTAGAGCTCTATTTATAGACATATTTCTGTTTTTAAGTTTCAACCATATCTAAATATTATCAATGTTGAACGGTTTTGTAAAGATCTCACTAGGTTAAGAGTATCATCTCATAGATTGCACATAGAATCAGGTAGATAAACTAAACCAAATAATACACCTTTAAATGATAGAAAATGTTTTTCATGTAATGTCTTAAAAGACAAATACCATTTCATATTAGAATGCAGTGTATATAATGATTTAAGAAAAAGTCTGATACCGCCATATTAGCATGTTATATATCTGCACGTGATTGTCGTGCATAACAATTTTCTAATCAAATCGTATTTTTAAAAAGCTATGATCTGTCTGTGAAAAAATTGTTAAATAATTTAGGCTATGGATACTTATGGAATGAAACAAATTTTGATAATAACTATATGTCTGTATTAAAGCAAAGGTTACGGGATCAATACGTACAAGAGTGGAGCGAAACAATTGCAAATCAACCAAAACTTAAATTTTACTGTTTGTTCAAGACAGAATTTTCTTTTGAAAAATATTTGACGGTGTTAGATAAAAGTTCCTGTAGACAAACAATGTCTCGATTTAGATTGTCGTCACATAATTTAGAAGTTGAAAATGGTAGATTTGTTGGAATTGATAGAAACGATCGTATCTGTAAAATGTGTAGAACTCATGTTGAAAACGAATATCATTTTTTACTCTGTTGTCCTATTTACAGAGAGTTGCGTAAAAGATATTGTATAAACTATTCCTTTCCTACTCTAAATAAATTTTATTTTCTTTTGTCAAGTAAAAACATAAGAAAAATAAGAAATGTTGGAAAATTTACTTCATGTGCTATGAAATTAAGAGCAGAATTTCTTGCAAATATGGCTGCTCCTTAAAATATCTGTTTAAAGTACTTTCAAGTTATAGAAATATTGTTAAAATAATCGTTTGATGTATATATGTTTTTGTATGTTATATTTATATTGTATATATTTCTGTTGTCTTGGCCATCATGAAAGTTATTGTAAATGGCCAAAGGCATTTTCTCATGCCGATTTAGCCAAAATAAACTGTACTGTTTAAAAAGCTATGATCGGACTATGATGGAAAAATAAATTATTCTGTAATATGAGTGAAAGATATTTATAAATTTTGTACATGTTTATTTTTTATGAAGAAAAAATATCCAACTTCAACCGGAAGTTTATGATTTTCTATTATAAATTTGAATACAGATATATAATTCGACTGCTCTAAAAATGTTCCATAAAAATTGTATAATGTATCAGGCAGTAAAATTGGAAATTGGAAAGTTTGTGTCTTTCTTTTATTGAACAGTTAAACTATATATTAACAAATCGCTAACATATGTTATGAGGACTCTTTAATATAATATTTTTAAATTTTAGTCATTTATTTAAATGTTTATTACGACATAAACAGGTGGTTCATTATAATCTTTTATCTTTAACATACATTGTATGCCAACTGTACCTCCTGTCTTAATTACTTCACACCTTACTTAATACAGTAAAACACAACATGTCAAATTGACAAGTTACAACATTTCATTATTGAAATTTGTCAGTATAAAGTGTTCCATTTTTTCCATCATTTAAATTAATACCAGTCATTCCATAAATTTATGCTGTTTACAGATATGAAATTTAAAATGATTTTAAATCGATCAACATAAAATCATGACTTAACACTTTTTCAATAAGTAGAATATATAGTTAAGTATCCAGGACATCATGATATGATATGTTTTCTACGGAAACGAATAGCGACCACCCCTATATATGTTAGTTAAAACAGATCTTTTGACAATTTATTTAATATACATTTATATTTTTACCAGCTTACTAGATCTGAAATATTTATACCATAAAATTATATAAAACAAGAGGGCCATGATGGCCCTAGATCGCTCACCTGAATTATCAAACTCATCCAAACAATTACCTAGACAAGCATTCTGACCAAGTCTCATGACAGGTGAGTCAAAAATGTGACCACTACAGTGTTAAAAAGGATTTTCCATATTTGAGCAGTGCGACCTAGTTTTTTACCCAGGTGACACATATTCAAACTTGACCTAGAAATCATCAAAACAAACTTTCAGACCAATTTCCAGGATACTTGGATCAAAACAGTAGCAACTAGAGTGTTAACAAGATTTTTCTATTTTTAGCTCCGGTGACCTAGTTTCACATGCGATTTCGAACTCATCCAAGCAATTACCTAGACAAACATCCTGACCAAGTTTGATGATAATTGAGTCGAAAATGTGACCACTAGAATGTTAACAAGGTTTTTCCATATTTGGGCGGTGTGACCTAGTTTTTCATCCAAGATGACCCATGTTCGATCTTGACTTAGAAATCATCAAAACAAACTTTCAGACCAATTAACAGAATATTTGGATCACAACAGTAGCCACTAGAGTGTTAACAAGATTTTTTCTATTTTTAGCTCCTGTGACCTAGTTTTTCATCCGAAATGTCCCATGTTCGATTTATTCCCAGCAATGACCTAGACAAGTTTCCTGACCAAGTTTGATGACAATTGAGTCAAAATTGTGACCACTAGAGTGTTAACAAGGTTTTTCTATTTTTAGCTCCTGTGACCTAGTTTTTCATCCGAGATGACCCATGTTCGAACTCATCCGAGCTATCACCTAGACAAGCATCTTGATCAAGTTTGATGATGATTGATGCAAAAATGTGACCGCTAAAGTGTTAACAAGGTTTTTCTATTTTTAGCTCTGGTGACCTACTTTTTCATCCGAGATGACCCATGTTCGAACTCATCCAAGCTATCAACTAGATAAGCATCCTGACCAAGTTTGATGATGATTGATGCAAAAATGTGACCACTAGAGTGTTCACAAGGTTTTTCTATTTATAGCTCCGGTGACCTAGTTTTTCATCCGAGATGACCCATATTCGAACTCATCCGAGCTATTATCTAAACAAGCATCCTGACAAAGTTTGATGATGATTGGGTCAAAAATGTGACCACTAGAGTGTTCACAAGGTTTTTCTATTTATAGCTCCTGTGACCTAGTTTTTCATCAGAGATGACCCATGTTCGAACTCATCCAAGCAATTGACTAGACAAGCATTCTGACCAAGTTTGATGATGATTGGTTCAAAAATGTGACCACTAGAGTGTTCACAAGGTTTTTCTATTTATAGCTCCTGTGACCTACTTTTCATCCGAGATGACCCATGTTCGAACTCATCCAAGCTATCACCTAGACAAAACATCCTGACCAAGTTTGATGATGATTGGGTCAAAAATGTGACCTCTAGAGTGTTCACAAGGTTTTTCTATTTTTAGCTCTTGTGACCTAGTTTTTCATCCGAGATGACCCATGTTCGAACTCATCCGAGCTTTCAACTAGATAAGCATCCTGACCAAGTTTGATGATGATTGAGGCAAAAATGCGACCGCTAGAGTGTTCACAAGTAATTGTGGACGGCCGGACGGACGACGGACGACGGACGACGGACATTCACCGATCCTAAAAGCTCACCCTGAGCAAGCTCAGGTGAGCTAAAAAGTATTTTGATACATATTATATAGGGATGGTCGCTATACATCATTTTATATTAAACTGTAATGTACTTTTTGTCTTAATGGGGACAAGCAGCTTTAATTTCATATAAAATAATTATGTCTAATTATGTTGTTTGGATACTTTAAAGTTTCCATGCGCCGATGTATATTAAAGGATTGTGGTAAACGAGTATGTTATGTCAACTAACACCTCCATTGTCCGAGCACGTATATGCTTGCTCCTTATTAGTAAAGGTGTTATGATGAATGGCTACCGCTACGTCTCTTTGTTTTAATCAAATCATAATCATTGGATTCAAATTAATTACTGTGATAATTTCCAATCAACTATTTCTGAAATTCATGCAAATTATTTAGGGGTTGTTCTCATCTTTGAAATGAAATCTGATTTGATTTCGGTAATGCAACACATTTATAACAAGGGAAGTAATCATGATATAATTATACATATCCGTCTATAACATCATCATTTTTATAATTAAATATTATTTTCCGTTGTTTATGGTTCAGTTTGAATGACTTTATATAAATTAATTAAACAAGATCTATTAAAATGTTTATTTTAACTTTTACAAGCCGATTTCGTTATGGTAACATATATTTCGGTTCGTGACAAATCAGGGAATAATCTTGATATTTAGTTATTTGTTTCTAATTTCATTATTAATAATTATTTCGAACTGATTTTTTGCATGAAAGTCAAACTTAACCTATTGTATTAGATTATTATGAAAAAAATATAATAAAACGCTTAATTGTGATTTTATAAGTTGATTTCGGTAATGAAAAGTTGATTTCGGTAACTTTACCGAAATCAAGTTGATTTCGGTATCGTAACGTACCGTTCTAGAAATAGTCATGCTAGAGTTATGGGCCTTGCCACACAACATTTGTGTAATGATAAGAAATATATATTTGAAGTTTGAAGTAGATACCTTAAAAAATAAAGAAGTTATTATATTTCTTAAAGAAAATCCTAAGTTCAAAGAGAGATAAATCTGTAAATATTGCTTCAAGAGTTATGAACATTGTCACATAAAATGTAATTGATGATAAGGAATAAGTATTTGAAGTTTGAGGTAGATATCTTTAAAAATAAAAAAGTTAAAACAAAAAATAACATTTTTCTAGTAAATAAATCTAAGTTTATGGGGAGATAATTCTTGCAATATTGGTGCTAGAGTTATGAACCTTGTCACATAAGATGTGGATGATGATAACGTAAATATAATTGAAGTATGAATTGATCACTTCAGAAATAAATAAGTTACAGTAAAAAATAATATTTTTTATGGAAAATTCTAAGTTCAAAGGGAGATAAATCTGAAAATATTGGTGCTAGAGTTATGAACCTTGTCACATAAGATGGGGATGCTGATAAGGTACATATATTTGAAGTATGAGGTTGATCCCTTAAGAAATAAAGAAGTATCAGTAAAAAATAGTATTTTTTAAGGAAAATTCTAAGTTCAAGGGGAGATAAATCTGAAAATATTGGTGCTAGAGTTATGAACCTTGTCACATAAGATGTGGTTGATGATAAGGAACATATATTTGAAGTTTGAAGTTGATACCTTAAGAAATGACAAAGTTATAGTGAAAAATATTTTACTGCACCAAAACTTTAATCTAAAATCTGGACGCGGACGCTGACGCCGGGGCGAGTGGGACAGCTCTCCATATACTTCGTATAGTCGAGCTAAAAACCTGCATAATCTCCATACTGCCAACTATCCATATATCAAGTTTCATAAAAATATTTTCAGTACTTTTGCGTTATCGCGGGATCCAGTTTTGTGGACAGACGGACTGACAGACGGACATAGGGTAAACCTAAAGTCCCCTCCGGTTAAACCGGTAGGGGACTTATAAATTTAAAGACATAAAAATGGACTTAACTTTGTCAAAATACAATACAAAGTTATCCCACCCCCTCCACTTTTTTTAGTTATGAAACTTGACCTGCCTATCTTACTTGCGACACTTCGTACATATTTGAAGTTTCAAATGATTATTCTGTTCTAGTTTTAGAAATATTCAAGTACATGTTAAAATTTCAGAAAATTTTCTAAGTCAATTTTTGACCGTCAAGTGTGGCCTTGACCTTTAGCTGGCATAAGGGTAAGATGGGTTCTGCACATTGCCCAGTTGGGGTGAACATTTGAGTCAAGTTTGAAGAAAATCCTTCCATAAGTATCGAGTTTATAGAGCGGACACATCAAAATGGAATACAGAGTTATGAAACTTGACCTGCATATCTTAATTGTGACACTTCATATACATTTCAAGTTTCAAGCAAATACCTTTTCTAGTTTCAGAAATATTCAAATACATGTTAAAATATAAGAATATTTTCTAAGTAAATTTTTACTTTCCAAGTGTAACCTTGACCTAAAGCCGGCAAAAGGGTAAGATGGGTTTTGCACATAACTATGTTGAGATAAACATTTGAGCCAAGACTGAAGAAAATCTTTCAATAAGTGTAGGACTATAGTGGACACGACATACTGTGTAATATTTGATTGTTTGATTTGACCTTCAATTGTGACCTTGACCTTGAGCTGACGCATGGGCAACATGGGTTTTGCACAACCCTTTGTTGAGCTGAACATTTGAGCCAAGTTTGAAGAAAATCCTAAAATTGGTATAGTATATATAGAGCGGACAAAATAATGGAGACGGACGGATGGACCGACAAAGCGAATCCATGTATCCCCCCACATTTTGTGGTGGGGGTATAAATTAACCACTTTAAGCACTTTTTTCTATGTGACTCTGTAAAATTTGCTTATTCTAAATTATGATTTCAAACTTATGTACACTTACATCTTGAAGTTTCCTGACAGCTTGTTGTGCATCTTGTCGATGTAAAAGATCTTTACCATCTTGTAGAACAGCTATCATGTCATCGATATAACAATTAGCTTTGCTCTCCTCTAGTTTCATATTGCTAGAATGAAAAATCTCGTTTCGATACTGCCGCACCTAATATACAGAAAACAAATAATACAACATTCACATAAATACAGTGTTCAGCAATGAAACTAAACACAATTCTTAAGTTGAGAAATAAAACTGTAATAAAGGAGTTACTTTAAAATACTTAACATAATAATCATTAGTATTATTGTGTTTAAACCGCAGATTATATAAAAGCAAAGGGAATAGAAATGGCTTTAGATGAATGTTATAATTATTTTACTGACGTAACGGTATTTACTTGTTGCATTTGCTTATAAAGCACAAATAACCTACTTCTGTACATTTTACAGTGTGGCTTAAAATAAAAATAGTTTTTGTTTCCCATCCACAAAAATTACAGCTAGTATTACTAGCTAAATTACAATAATGAATTGCCAAAAATATTTGTGAATACCATTTTATGCATAACAATTTTGTATCATTATTCATTTGTGGCAAACTGTTTCTCTGACAAAATAACTGTATTAGCCTGAAAGTTATATGGACATAATTTCACCTTAGTGCAGTAATGGGTTAACTCCTATAAAAACTAGAAGGGTTTTTGTCACAAAAACATATGTCTCCCAAAACTATGTAATATAATGGTCACTCATGTGAAGTTTCATTGAAATCCCACCACTAGCTTGACCTGTGAAAGCCAGACAAGATTTTTCTATTTTAAGCTCCGACGGCCATTTTGTGCAGCAAAGCAGAACATTTAGGTGACATGCAAAACTAGTGATGGTACTGATCACTGCTGTAAAATTTGGTTGAAATCCAACCAGTGAAGGGCGAACAAGATTTTTCTATTTTTAGCTCTGGTGGTCATTTTGTGCAGCAAAGCGGAACGTGCCGGTGATGTGCACAACTAAGGATGGTACTGATCACTCTTATAAAGTTTGGTTGAAATCCCACCAGTAGTTTGACCTGTGAAGGCTGGACAAGATTTTTCTATTTTTAGCTCTGGTGGCCATTTTGTGCAACGAAGTGGAACGTGTCAGTGATGTGCACAGCTAGGTATGGTACTGATCACTCCTGTAAAGTTAAGTTGAAATCCCAACGGAAATTTAAGCTGTGAAGGGAGGACAAAAAGTTTATATTGATAGCTCTGGCGGCCATTTTCTGCAGCGAAACGGAACATGCGGGTGATGTGCACAACTAGCGATGGTACTCTGATCACTCCTGTTAAGTTTGCTTGAAATCCCACCAGTAGTTTGACCTGTGAAGGCTGGACAATATTTTTCTATTTTTAACTCTGGCGGCTATTTTGTGCAGTGAAGCAGAACGTGTCGGTGAGGTGCACAACCAGAGCTCCAGATAGCGTGCGTATAAGCGTAAAATACGCATAGAAAATCTAAAATACGCATCACTTTCAAAATTCGTGCGTCACAGTTACGCACAACAAAATGAAAATACGCTCGTATGTCAAAATTTATGCGTGAAAGAATAGAAATGTAAACATTTGATATGTAGAAAGAAAATGTTTTGAGCATAAAAATACCATATATTTCCATTTTATTGCATTGAAAACTAAAAATTCTGTTGTCAACAACGCATGTTAAAAACGAAAGTAGCAGGAAATACAGAAGGGAGGTAACTCCCGTAGATCAACCTGTGAAATTATTGATGAACTTTGTGCCAGATAATCATCGTAGGAGCTAACACAGTATTAAGTTTGTTTAGTCATCTATTGACATGCTTATGCTTCAATATAAACAAAAATATATTTTAATATCTTTTACTTTTGTTGTTGGAACAAAATAACATGTTTTTCACCTGCAGTTTTGCACTCAATATTTTCGTACCCAGTCTACAGTTACGGACAATTTTCTCTCAGACCAATATTTTTTTTTTAAGGAAAGATATAAAAAATCTTGTTTATGTTTCTTTAATTCTAATTTCAACTATAATTGTTCAAAATGGAGTACATGATAAGGTTCACGCAAACAGAAATAAAGAAAGAAAAATATTGACTCCTAGAAAATAAAATAATTTCAGGGCTTCCACAAGTGGAAGTTTGGGAGTTATTTACTCCTTGACTTCCGAAAATCTTATACTTTTCCTTCTTTACTAATATAATGTGACTTCCAATATCAGAGATTTTGAAGTCTTTGACGTCCAAATTTTGAAAATGGAAGCCCTGATAATTTAGCTGTGTATCCTAAACTTGAGTTCCAGTATACTCTGGAAGTCTGACTTTACATGGCATGTTTTGTATTGTTTCACATTAAATCAGTATTTAATTTGTACAGGTTTTTCTAAAAAAAAAAAGAAAATAAACAAACAAACAAAACAATAAGTTTAATTTGTTTATAAAAAAATGCAAAATGCTTTTGTGACAGATTTTACCCCTTAAGTTTTTCAGAATTTGCATTTTACCCCTCACTCTAAATTTTGAGGGGTAAAAACCCCTTGGCCAAAAAAATTATCTGGAGCTCTGACAACTAGGGATGGTACTGATCACTTCTGTAAAGGTTGGTTGATATTCCATCAGTAGTTTGACCTGTGAAGCGCGGACAAGCTTAATGCGAACGGACAACAGACGGACGTACAGGACGGATGGCGAAGGCAGGAGACATAATTCAATAAGAGTTACATGTAACCAATAACTGCACTACCCTCAAATTATATGAACATAATTTCACATTAGTGCAGAAATGGGTTAACTCCTATAAAAATTCAATAAGACTCAACCAATAACTGCACTAAGGTAACAATATTCTCTTTTACTTTTATACTCAATTAACAGACTAAATCTTATAGTAAAGCTTAATACAGTACTGGACACGCGAAACCCGCAAAAGTCGCGTTATGCCGCGAGTGTAGTCTATGACACGACGGGTCATTACCCGGTAAAACATTGCCGCGTGCAAGTTTGCCAAATTTCATGACGGTTCACGAAAAATCGCTGCGATGTATCGCAGTAAGTTACGGCGAATCTACAGCAGGCTGTCAACCAGGTCTCATCCAAAATAAAGGAGGAATATAGGAATATTTTAGCAGGAAATATAGGAGTTTTTGGACCATTTTGAGGTAAAAAAATAGGAGTTTGCAACTTAAATTGTTTAACCTACCAATGCTTATATAAATGTAAATTATTCTTACTTTTACACATGCTGTTTCTACAATAAAATGTCTACCGTATAAGTGAAAGAAACCATTAGCAGGCTGTCCAGCACCTTCCGACATAAAATTAGGGCGAATTTTATGGTAATATTTCAGGAATTTTAGGGCTAAAATTTGCAATTTAATGACTAAATAAACTAAGGTCCCAAAAGACCACGATTTGGGCAAACCTTTGCATATTTGACACAAAAGTAACTCACAAATAATACTCTAGTTTAGTAATAGAGCAAAGGTGCTACCAGTGTGGACTCACTGGTCAACTGCCTCCCCTGCGGAAATGGTCATAATCAAATCATGTTCAAACCATATTTTTAAAATGGCTGAACATGTCAAAAAGAACATGTTTTACCTATGTTTTGGGAATAGTATAACCACAAGTGTCTAAAAGGAATTCTTATACAGTGAAATTCTTGCACAATGCAGCTTTTGAATCATAATTATGGACAAATGAAATTTTTTTGTAAAAGTAGGTAAAAAGTAAAAAAGGCATTTGCCTTAGTACAGTCATTTGAATAAATGGGAAGCATCTATAATCAACACAAAGAATTGCACATCAAAAAAGTTCATCACACAGACCATTCAATTGCAGTTTATCTAGATCACATTCCCGGCTACAGATTGTCCATGGACAGCCTTAAAATGACCATGGATATCCATGGATATCCATGGAAAGAGCATGGAAATACATGGATAAGTCAAGTGAATGGACAGTGTCCATACTAACAACATGGATAACATGGACGATGTCCATGAATAACATGGACAGCGTCCAGGGAATATAAAAATGTTCATGGACATAGTACAAAAAAAACTATGTCTAATGTGGACATTGTCCATGGTCAACTTCATTGCTCATACTTAGAAATTTTTATCAAAAGTGATTGGATGGATATGCAAAAAAATCTAAGTGCCAAAACATGAAAAATGTTTAAAAAAATCATAACTGCCATTCTTCAAAAAATTATATGTTGATATTGGGTATCAAATTATTCAGCATGAAAAGAAGAAATCAAATATAGTAAGATCAAGTAGATTTTTTTTTATTTTTTATTTCTTTTAAATTCCAAACTTCAGTTAAATGATAATATAGAAAAATATACTGTACCCTTATGCATACCATTTCAATTATATAAAAAGATAATCTAGTCTCACTACTTGTAGACTTGTTTAGGTTTGTTTGTTTCTGTTTTTGTGTTTCATTATCATATATTACCCTAATAAAGTTAGAAAAAAAATGCACAATTTCATAGAAACAATTTAAATTTAAGAACAAATGTAATTGTTATGCACTTATATTTATTCATTAATTGATGATAAATTAATTATTATTATGTATCTCTATTGAAGTATATATAGTTTATATATTCATCCTGTGTAGATGTAACAGTTTTCTTATGTTTAGTGATTCATTTCTGGAACATTCAAATTAGCATCAGCCACAATGTAAATATTTATGACCCCTCTAGTGGAACCTGCTGTTTTCATTACTACCAAAGTAAAACTCACCTATCTGATATAAGAGAATAGAAAGAGGTAAAGCAGGTTTACAACATACTATATTACACTGTAGCTCCCAAGTAACTTAATACCCTTGCAGAACAAATCACAGGTCAGAACACTCCTTCCAGGCGGGTCATTTGAACAGAAGCATTGAAGATAATGTTA